GGGCTTTAGGGTTTAGGGTCTAGTTCAGGGTTTAGGGTTTAGGGTTTAGGGTTTAGGGTTTTGGATTTAGGGCGTTCACTGATGAAATTTTCCAGGATTCCAACCCGAGGGCTTTAGGGTTTAGGGTCGAGTTCAGGGTTTTGGGCTTTAGGGCTTTTACTGATGAAAGTGGGGTATACCCCAGTACTTCTTTTGAAAACAAGCTACCACAACCACTGTATAGGTACTTAGGAACCCTTAAAAAGGAACCCTAAGCCCTTAAAGGAACCCTAACCTCTAAACCTCTCATAACCCCTTCATTTCTTATATAGGTCCTGAGGTCCTAAGGACCTATATAAGAAAATGTAGGGATTATGAGAGTTTAGAGTGTAGGGTTCCCTTAGGACCCTTTAGGGTTTAGGGTTTAGCGCTTCGGGTTTTTATGCCCGAAGCTCCCAGACTCTGACCCGGGATCCTCCAAACTCGGAGCCCTGAATGCTACTACAAGGCTTCGGGTTTAGGGTTTAAGGTTTAGGGTTTAGAGTTTAAGGTTTAGGGTTTAGGGTCTAAGGTTTAGGGTTGGAGGTTCAGGGTTTAGAGTTAAAGGCTTAGGGTTTAGGGTAGATCCTGAACCTCCAAAACCTGGAACTATGTAGAGCCTTTCATTGCTGCTTGACAGAGTCCGCCTTCATAAGCCGCTTCCAAACCTGCTGAACTTCCATGAAAGCCCTTGAACACCCTTCAACACTTTGATATGTTTCTTAAGAACCCTATGAAAAGACCCTAGACCCTAAACCTTAGGCCCTAAACCCTAAACCCGAAACCATGAACGGCTCAAAACTCGCGATGTTAAAGTCCACGAAGCCGTTCCACCCTACTCAATGTTCACCCCTGAGTCCCTTAAGACCCTTAAACCTCTCGAATCCCTTAAAGCTCTTGAATCCCTTAAAACTCTTAAACCACTGAATCTTAAACCCAAAATCCTTAAATCCGTAAGCCCAATCCGCAACGCCTACACCCTAAGACCCCTAAACCTGAACCCTTAAAACCCCTTATACTGGAAGCACAACAGCTGGAGACCCACTGGCCCCAATCCTTAAGAGTACTGCATAGGGAATCCCAGCACTATTTGTCCTTCGTCCGGTTTTAAACTTTTTGGGGTTTACCATAACCTAAACCCTAAACCCTAAGTCCTAAACCATAGACCCTAAACCCCTAAACCCTAAACCCTAAACCTCAAACCCTAAACCCTGGACCCTAAACCCTAACCTCCAAACCCCTAAACCCTTCAACCCCTAAACCCTAAACCCTAAACCCTAAACCCTAAACCCTAAACCCTAAACACTATAACCATAAAGGGACCTCGTAAAGCCCTTCCACCCGTTGCTCCCAGGCCGGGTCCTCCCCTCAGGACGCGACACGAATAGCTGGCCAGGGCGTAGATTTCGGTTTTTTTGTGGGTTTAGGGTTTAGGGAGATCTCGGGTTTTGGGTTAAGGGAGATTTCGGGTTTAGGGTTTAGGGTTTAGGGAGATCTCGGGTTTTGGGTTTAGGGAGATTTCGGGTTTAGGGTTTAGGGAGATTTCGGGTTTGGGGTTTAGGGTTTAGGGAGATTTTGGGTTTTGGGTTTAGGGCTTAGGGAGATTTCGGGTTTTGGGGGTTCGGGGTTCCTCTAGAGCTTTGGGTTTTTGGTTTTTGGGCGTGGGGGTTTGGGGCTTAGGCTTAGATTTAGGTTTGAAGGGTCAGGGTTCCTCTAAAGGGGTCTACGAGGCGAGGGTTCAGGATTTGGGTTTCGAGGTTTAGAGGTTAAGCTTCTGTCTTCCCCCTCAGGCACTGCTCAGAAAGTCAGAAAGGGTACCCTTGGCATCACAATAGCCGAAAAGCCATTTATAATAGGGTCTTTGGGCATAAAAGCCTTAAAATGTGAGTCCTTAGAGGGGGTGAGGAGTTTGGGGATGGAGGTTCTGACGATTTCGGACGATTGAGCTCCCGGGTGCTTGAGGGCTCAGGGCCTGGGGAGAGTTTAGGGTTTAGGTTTTGGGGGTTTAGGGTTTAGGGGTTTGGGGTTAGGGTTTAGGGTTTGCGGGTTCAGGGTTTGGGGGTTTAGGGGGTTTAGGGGTTTTCTCGTGTAAGTCCGAGGATCACAAAGAAGAACGAGTTCAAAGTTCAGGGTGTTAGGAGAATGCTTGGTCTGAAGGCTTTGGGCTTAGATTGGGGTTTGGGGCTTTAGGGTTCGCATCAGGTTTGGAGTTTAGGGCTGCATTCCTGCACTTTCAAGCTCTATAAACTCCACCTGTAGCCTCCCGTTGAAGCTGTTTTTCGCGTAGCCACATCTAGGGCTAGGATTCGAAAGCACTAAACAAGGCAATCAAACAGGGACTAATCAGAACAAGTACGCGCATTTACATGTTCCATACATGCATGCATACACACGTACATACATACATACATACATACATACATACATACATACATACATACATACATACACACATACATACACACATACATACACACATACATACGCACACACATAGCAGAGACTGCAGGTAAAACCCTACAATTTCGCACGCAACTACACGCTAAGCCCAAAACCCCCAATTCCTCTAAACCCTGAAGCCCTGAAGCCCTGAACCGTTGAACCCTAAGCCCTGAACCCTGAACCTAAAACCCGAACCCAGGAGTTCTCCATCGCACAGAGCGATGATGATGACGTCCCACCTTCAGCGAGCAGCGCTTTGGATCTGACAGGGGAGTTTTGAGACTTGTTAAAGGCTACTTCAAGGGCTCCCCCAAACCCTAGACCTTAAAGTTCAGCTTTCAAGGTTTGGGGGTTCAATGAATGTTTTGAAGCTTACTTCAGGTTTCCCTACAGGGTTCTTTCAAGGGGTCTTTAAGAATTTGTTGGGGCTGCTGGGGGTTTCGTGAGGTTCTGCTAAGGGCTCCGATCCTCCATAAACCCAAAGCTAAACCCAAAGTTAGAGGGCGTCTCTATTGAATATGGGTACTTTGGGGTTGAAGTATCTACTATTTGGGTACATGCACCCTTAAAGTAGGGTTAATGGTTGAGGGAGTTTAGGCTTCAGGGCTTCGGGTTCAGGGTGGGGTTCATGGCTTCAGGTTTCTGGGGTTTAGTAAAAAAATAGAAAATAAACACAAATACTATTCCTTCTTAGGAATAAACACAAATACTATTCATTCTTAGGGCTTCTTGTTCTAATTATACTACACAGGAGACAAAAGCCCTTTTCTAATTATTAAGGCCCCTCGTTGGGGTTCAAGGCTTGTTGGGCTGGTACAGGGTTTTGAAGTTCTGAGGGGAGGGTTCAGGACTAGAAGTTTGTCAGAACAGAGGACTGTTGAATTGGCTATCCTTCCAAGTGCCTGATTATACATACATCACCGTGAACCTACATCTGACCCGTAAACCATAAACGACCCCAAACCCTAAACCCCTAAACCCTAAAATCCTAAACCCTAAGCCTTAAACCCTAAACCCTGAACCCTAGACCCTAATCCTTGAACCATCTTGAACCTCAGAGCTGTGGACTCCACTCGCTGCGCATTAACATAAACCAACCCGGGTCCTTCTCGAAAAAGTTCGAGGGTTTAGGGTTGAATATGAAGCCTGACTAAGTATCAATATTACTTTTAGGGTTCCTGATGATAATATTATCATAAAGGAGCCCAAAACCCTATTCTAATCATTAAGGCCCTTATTTTGGGGAGTCTAGGGTTTAGGGGCGGCTGTGTTGTGGCCTAAGAGCTTGCGGAGCCCGCAGGTTGCGACCAGTTTCAAAACTCAGACTTGTGCATTTTGAGCTCATGCCTACCGCTAAGCTTGAGGCAACGTAGGGTTGAGGGTTTAGGGTTTAGGGTATCAGTTTAGGGTTTAAGGTTTAGTTCAGGATTTAGCATTCTCAGACCAAAAACTCAATACTTCGCGGTAGTTCGCAGGATGGGAGTCCAGGAGTAGACCGCAGAGATCGCAATTTTGAGATTGATCTTGCCACCTGCAGGCTTTCAGGCTTACTCTTTCAGGTTTTTGGGGCATGTAGAGTGTAGACCCTCAGGCGTAGCTCCTTTGTTGGGGTAGCCTCGATCTCCGAGTCCCCGATGGGATCCGAACTATCAAGCGGCTATAGACAGAAATTCCTTAGACCTAAACCCTAAACCCTAAACCGTATACCTCCACATGCTGCCGAATTTCAGCTCAGGAATCCAATACGGTATACACTTAGGCCGCAAAGTAGCTGCATAGGAGCCCCGTTAAGGCCTAGGTATATAAATAAACAAACTCATGAATCAATCTATATATATATATATATATACACATATACACATACATACTACACAGGTACGTGGACCGTGAGGGACACAGAGAAGCCTCACCCCCCCCTTCTCCCCAATTGTCCCAGGCGATTCTGCCCCATCAATCCATCTCGATGCACCCAGCAGTAGCACAAGCACCAGGATCATCGTTTAGGGTTTAGGGTTTAGGGTTTCGGGCTGGAGGGTTTGTCCGGGTTCAGTTAGGGCATAAAGTTGAAAGGCTTGGTTGCGTGTTTGTGTTCGTCGTCAAGGGTGCTTGATGATTTCTGGTTTGGGTTTCGGTCTTGAGGCTTAGGGTCTGTGGTGTATGCTTGAAGTGACTTGAACGGAGTATGCTTGAAGTGACTTGAAACCATTTGGGACGTTGTCAGCCGCCGCTGCTGTTGTGATGAAACTCACTGCCATTTTGCTTTGATGCTCTCCGGCCGCAATTTAGATGCACATGGCTTCTGGTTGACCGAACCCTGCGAGCCCCCAAACCCGAGATATCGAAGGAGACGGATACTAAGCCGAAGCCCTCAATCGACCCCTGCGATAATGTTTCAATATAGACCCACTCTAGAACCCAAAGTAGACCGTTATGAAGTACAGTAATGTCGAAACCGAAGGAAGGTATCCTCTAAGCATGCAAGAAGCCCCCCGCTCTCTGAGTCTCGTAGAAAAGCCCTTGCAACCGTGAGTTGCTGCAGCGCTCTGGTATAGTGGCCTGAATTCTGAGTCTATAGTAGTCTTGTCCCCTTCCAGTCCCTATCTAAAAGTTGTGTACGACACCTCCCCCAATCCCAGTTGTAGTATTGCTCCTAAACCCCAAACCCTGAACCCTAAACCCAAACCCTAAACCCTAAACACAAAGCCTGTAAACCCTAAAGCTTGAATCCTGAACCCTACACTCAAACCCTCAGAACCCACGGGCGAAAGGCTAGCCCTAAGGGTCCATACATGTGTATATATATATATACATAGAACTATTATGGAGTTAGGTTCCCAAAGCGGGACTAACTCCCTAATGGTAGTATACATGGACCCTACACCCTAAACCCTTGTACACATGGACACTCTTGGTAGGATATCCGCTCCGTCCAGGACAGACGAAGCAGGTACCGGCGATGCATCAGGTCAGGGTGTGCCGAGAATGATGCAAGAGGCAGCTGCTGGGAAACCCTAAACCCTAAACCCTAAACCCTAAACCACTAAACCCTAAACCTAAGGTTTTAGCTAAACCTTAAACCCTAAACCCTAAACCCTAAACCCAAAGAGTTTAGCTAAACCCTAAACCCCTAAACCCTCAGCCAGACAGGCATCCATAACAAAGGAACCCAGGGTTTAAGGGTTTCGGGGTTTAGGGTTTTAGGATTTAGGGTTTTAGGGTTTAGGGTTTAGGGTTTAGGGGTTTAGGGTTTAGGGTTTAGGGGTTTAGGGGTTTAGGTTTTAGGGCCTTCAGGGTTTAGGATGGTTTAGGCTTGACCAGGTGGCAATTTGGGAGAAACTTTTAAAAACATCCCTTATGGTCTCTATAGAGATACCTCTTTCATAAGTACGTTTCAGGGCCCTGAAACTACAAAAACCAGTTTAGGGGTTTAGGGTCCAGGGTTTAGGGCTCATGGCTTTCTGGGTCCCTAAAACCTGAAACCCTAAACCCTGAACCCTAAACCCTTAGGGGTTTAGGGTCCAGAGTCCAGGGTTTAGGGCTTTGGGTTTAAGGTTTGTTTGAGGCAGCTTCTAGGGATCTCCGCAAGGGTTCCTTTGTCATGGTTGCCTGCTTAGGGTTAAGGGGTTTGGCGGTTGAGGGGTTTGGGGCTCAGGGTTTTTTGAGGGTTTATTTAGGAGTTTCTCTGAGTTTGGTGAGTTTAGTGTTCCAACAAGGTTTCCTATACTTGGAGGGTCGGGGGACTTAGTAAATGGTTACTTTATAGACTTATAAGTACTATAACCCCAATTAGGGTCCCTTTTAGGGTACTTATAAGTCTACTTCTTACCCTCCAAGTAGGTGTTGGCTTTAGGGTTTAGGGTGAAAAGGCAGCTTCCTGAGACGTTGGTGTTCGTTTCGGGTTTCGGGTTTAGGGGCTTTGGTGGGGGTTCTGGATTCGGGTCTAGGGTTTTAGCAACCCTAAACCCTAAACCCTCAACCCTAAACCCTAAACCCTAAATTAGTCTCCGAATCTGTCGCGCAGACTCTTTCGGGTTAGGATCTTCCTGTCATCTTCAGCTTTGGGCCCTACTTTAACAAATAAATAAAACCCCTATGAGGGTAAGTTCGTTTTTGGGGGTTCATATATAGAATCCTATAAGGTAACCCCCAAAAGGAACTACTATGGGGCCTTTGGGTACTTTAACAAATAAACAAGACTCCTATGAGGGTTTAGGATTTAGGGAACCCTACGGTAAAGCCTTCATAAAGACTTATTGAGACCCTTATTGTGCAGCTGGTGTGGTCCGACATCTGGGAAGGCCTTTCCGATGGACAAGATGCAGAACGGCTTGGGGGCGGCAAAGAACTGGGTGTGGGGGGCTTAGGATGCATTTACACGTGCAACTAGGATTGGGGATGATAAGATTGCATGAGGGTCTCCAGTAGGAGGTTTTAAGGTTTGATGTAGTCGGGCTTATGATTCTTTTTGGTCAGGAATGGGAGAAGCCATAAGTGCTGGTGTAAATGTTACTCCGTGCTTCTTCCCACTTCCTGGATGTCAGTCATCTCGATTCTTCTACGGTCCTCGGTGCTGATTCCTGTAGATGGTGTGACAGTCAAGTTGAACACGCCGTCCTGCGTCACACGTATTGCCGGAGGGCCCTGAGACTACCCGACTATCCATGATGATTTTGCAGAAGATGGTGTTGCGCAAGAAGATGCTTTTGCCCGCAACGATGATGATGGCTTCGTTGGTATCCACTAAACTGGCGTCGCCCCATGTACCTGCAGTGGCCATCATCATCGTCATCATCATCGAACTTTTCATCACCATCATCAACATCATCAGCAACATCATGATTCTCCTCAGCATCATCATCATCATCATCATCGTCATCAACAGCACAATCATCATGATGCTCAACATCATCATCATCATCACCACCACCATCATCATCATTCTCCTCAACATTATCATGCATAGTTCTCTCCTGTCGTTTATGACCATGCTTTAGGCTCATGTCGTTAACATTACGTACTGCTATGTTACACGTTCCTACCACCATCCATGTCGGAATTCGTTTGAGGAAAGCTACTCTTGAATTACAGTACTGGAGTATACTATTCTACTACCAATACGATAAGAAATTCTAGTACTCATACGTACTCACATGCAGGCTAATACAAACACGAACTCTTAAGCTCATACTCATACGATACTGATTTTTTATGCCAATACGACTGCTAATGCGAATGCTAACACGAGTGCCAATACTGTATTTGCTGTACTAGACTTTACTATACTGTAATGCTGCCATATGTAAACCATATGTTGACATATCATGATGTTATGCTTTCCGTATTGCTTTTGGTATACTATATACTCTATGATATCATACTACGCTATATTAAGCTAAGTTGTGTTCCACTACATCAATATAATATATCCCATCATACCATAGCACATTATTGCGCTGCTTCTTCTTTCTTCTGTAGCTTTCTCTGCTCCTGAACTCGACCAAGGACTTGGGGTTGGGGCAACGTGGTGTCGAGCGCCAAGAAGGCCACGGCTTACAGGGTTTAGGTTCAGGGTTTAACCCATTTTAACCCTAAGCCCTAAACCTTAAACCCTAAACCCTAAACCTCTTAATAAACCTTAAAGCCTAAACCCTAAACCTTAAACCCTAAGCCTTAAACCCTAATAAACCTTAAGCGCTAAACCTTAAACCCTAATAAACCTTAAAGCCTCAACCCTAAACCCTAAACCCTGAAACTTTGACCCTAAACCCTAAACCCTAAACCCCAAATCCTAAACCTTACGGTTCAGTGCCCTGCTCACGAGCTTGCAGCGGCAAAGGGGCCAGGACTTGCCCCAAGGCTCCATGTACCTGTATGTAGTATATGGTCAGTTCTCTAAATAAGGGTCCCTGTTTATAAGAGACTATGTTGGGGAATCAAAAAGGGACCCTAATTTAGAGAGTTACCCATATATTTAGGCCTTAAAATCGCTATGTCGGAACCCCTGTGCGGCCTACGTGTATACCATGCCATGGAGGTACATGGATCCTTGCATGTATCTTAAACCGTAAGCCCGTATAGTACCCTGAAATACTCGTAAAGGCTTAAGTGCTTCAGTATATACTATACTATATAGGTACACGCACGCAGGGTTTAGGGGGTTTAGGGCTTATACGCCGTTGAGGAGTAGCTTTGCCAAGAAACATTCGCACAAGCGCTGACGAGCTTCTCATGTTGCGCCCGTGATCCACTCGGGTGCTTGCCGCAAAATAACTTGTGGTGGAATAGAAATTGACGGATTGGATTCGGGGCTTGCCATCGATGCAAAAGCCGCCCCGGGCAACAGCAGCACCACCAGCAATGCATGTAGGCAATGTAGGCTAGAAGCCTGAAAAATCACCAGTATCATTCCTTTACCTCTGGTTAGTGGAGTTCTTTCACAGCCCTTGGGAGCCCAGGACGGGCTGCTGTCACTCTTGGTCCTCGTCTCCCCACTGGCCTCAAAAGACGTCCTTTCGACTTTGACTCCGAGGATGTTGTCATCATCTCTCGGACGGGCTATGTGCAGTCCCCGCCTGTTGTTGATTGTAGGGTTTAGGGTTTAGGGTTTAGGGTATCGGGTTTAGGGTTTAGGGCTAGTGTGGAGGGTGCCAGAGACACCGCCTGCCGTTTTTGGCTGCAAAAAGCTGCAAGTGGGCAAGCTCAAAGGCAGGAAGCGTTCCACTCTGAGGCGCACCGCTCGTCTAGCCAGGTGGCAGTTTGTCTTGCTAAGTCCATGAAGACGAGGGGGGTGCAGTTCCTCCTCGCCGTACCGACGGCCCGGACGTCCGCAACAGAACAGAGCAGAACGGTATTACTCCTTAGGGCTCCGTGTTATGAGTATACTATAAAGGCGCCCAAAGCCCAAGTCTAAGCATTAAGTTCCCCATGTGGATGCCGCAACTCTTGCCTGTCTCCCAAACCCATGTACCACGGGTCCGCCTGCCATCTGTCAACCTTACCAAACATGTGGGTAGGTCTCTAAATTAGGGTCCCTTCTTAGCTCCCCAATCTAGTACGGCACCCTTATAAAAAGGACCCTAAAAGGGACCCTAATTTTGAAAACTACCCATGTACAGCTTGAACACATGCCTCGCTTCGGGACTGTACCATCCCGCGGCCTGCGGCATCTTCGACACTTACTGACATGGTATCTTTTTTCTCAGCCCGAATGTAGAGTTTATAGGGACAAGACGCAGGTTTTGGTAGTTTAAGGTATATGTGAGGCAGGTGAACCTTCGCAAAGCCCGTGCCAGAGGCAAGTCCCTCCATATGCTCCCATATGCCCCTGAAGTAAACACTACACCTGCACTCCACTAAAGCGTAAAACCTAAACCCTTAAGCCCCAAAATCCCCTAAGGCCAAAATCCCAATCCATTCTTTTCTAAGCCATCTAAACCCTAAACCCTAAACCTTCACGCGTCTGGAAAGAAACAATCTCGGCGCTCAGATCGGTGATGACATTGCCAAGTCGGAGTTCGTGAAGGAGACAGAGAGGCTGCATCCGAGGATAAGGGTCTAGGCTTCAGGGATGTTTAGGGTTTACGGATGTTTAGGGTTCAGGGTTTAGGATTTACGGATACAGGTTTGGGGTGTAGGGATGTTTAGGGTTTAGGGATGTTTAGGGTTTAAGTATTTAGGGTAATTATAGGGTTTACGGATAGTTAGGGTTTAGGCATGTTCAGGGCTGACGGTTTAGACGTTGAGGGTTGAGGCTTTAGGGTTCAGGGATAGTTGTGGTTGAAGAGTTTAGAGGTTGGTTAGAGTTTAGAGCGTGGATGACTTTAGGATTCATGGTTTAGGGTTTAGGGGAGATTGATCCGTGGGCTTAATGTCGGGGTGTTTCTAAAGACTGTTCGACGTAGCATTGGCGAAGGGTTCCGTGTAACAGACTCTGCTAGGCATTCTTAAGTCCTTTTAAAGGGATTTAAGGCTGCATTGCGGGAGATTCATCCTTAAACTCGAGTCCTAATCCTCAAACAAAGCTCCGGCTTGGTCTCGGGCTTTGCAGTTTATAGGGCTTGCGTGGTAGCAAACCTGTCCCCTAAACCTTTAAACCCAAAAACCCTAAACGTAAAACTTGTCTCGTATGGCGCATATATTCCAGGCCACCAGATTCCGAGGGGCCCTCCTGTCGAAGGGCTGAGGTGTTCGGCAACGAGGACTGTGTTCCCTAAGAGTTTGTGGATTTAGGGCTTATAGGGTTTCGGGTATAGTGTTTAGGGTTTAGGAGTTAGGGTTTAGGATTTATTTAGAGTTTAGGGCTTAAGGGATGTATCCTAACACATCAGACGACCCTGGATCGTGAATATTTAGACCTTGCAAAGTGAGCACCCTCAAGCCTTGGCATTTTGGGTTTAGGGTCCTTCATAAACCGTCGTGCCCAGCATCCATTGATTGAAGTGTATGAGTTACCTTAAACCTGAAAGCTACCGTTTTTGGAGCTCCTTAGAATGATTTCCGTCTAGAAGTAAACCGGTAGGTTGTTTGAAGTATATGAGTTCGAGCTGTCCTAAAGACACAAGGCCTCAGTTAGAGGGTACCTCTGGGGTGCGTGTTGAACCCGAGCCTAGGCTCCTCCAGGAGCACATCCTGGAAGTGAGAACGCCCTTGTCACCTGAAGTTCCAAATCCAAGCACTAAGCCTCCACCCCCAAAACCCTCAACCCCTAAACCCTAAACACCAAAACCCGAAACCCCAAAACCCTAAACACCTACCCCATATAAACCCCTAAACCCGACACCCCCAAAAACTTTCAACCCTCAACCGGCCTCAACCCTAAACCGGTGTCACAAATCGCGGAACCCGAAGCCTCGGAAGCTTTGCCCACAAGGATGAGCTCTGGAACCTTGAACTACTAAGCTCCTCAAGCCTCAAATTCCTAGGTTCGGGGTTTAGGGCGTACCTGAAGCCGGAGAGACCTGCGGAACTATATATAGAAACCTTATTCAGGAATCCTAGAAAGGTAAGTCCTTTCGGCTACAGGTAGGGTTTTTAGAGTTCAGGGTTTCGGGTTTAGGGTTTACGGGGGGGTGGGGGGGCTTACGATCCTTCAAGGGTTCCTTTTAGGCTAGAGCCCTGGAGTTTGCGGGGTTTATAGTTCCCTAAACCCTAAACCCTAAACCCTAAACCCTAAACCCTAAACCGTTGAGGTTTTAGGCTTCAGCCCTCAATCTCCGAATGAAGCCCTTCAGCCCAAAGACTCCCAGGCTTTGCGGTTTAGGGTTCAGGGTCTGGGGTTTAGGGTTTAGGGTTTAGGGTTCAGGGTTCAGGGTTCAGGGTTTAGGGTTTAGGGTTTAGGGTTTAGGGTCTAGGGTTTAGGGCAAACTCCAAAGCCCTTCTACTTGGAAGCCCTATACTGCAGGCTCGCACAGAAGGCCGAGGAGAATCTGCAAACCGGAGCTACCGAGGTCGAAGGGCTGGGAAGGGCTGGGATCTGATGGGGAAGTATATGAATACCATATGTACATGCAGGTATATATATATATATATGCATATCTATATACATACATGTGTATGTAAGATTTTCTTTTCTAGGGGCTTCGCAGGGTGTTCACAAGCATTCGTTGTTTTTTCTCCAGTTTTGGTTTGCCGGTCCTTAGGGTTCTTCATCGGGTTCTGAAAGAGGCCTACCCACCCCAAAATGAGTTGACCGTATCGTTTGCAGAAGGGAGGATGCTTCAAGGGCCGCCCGGGTTGTATTGAGGCGTTGCTGGGTTTAGGGTGTAGGGTTTACTGTTTCTTGGTGGGTTTTACAGGGTCCGTGTGGCTATATATGAACTCGGCAACAGCCCCTGATAGGTACTCCGTTAAGGCGAGGGCTTAAGTGTGTATAGGCTATGTAGGTAAATGGCCACTTAGGGAGATCAGCAGGCTTCTTAACCTCAGTGGTATGTTTGTATGCATGCATGCCTGCGTGCATGTTTGTATGCCTGTGTGTATGTTTGTATGTTTGTTTGTATGTATGTGTGTAAGTATGTATGTAAGCTTGTGTATATATATATATATATATACACATGTATACACGTCGTTCATGCAGATGGGCATATGCACATATGCACATGTGTTGAAAATCCGATAAAACCCGGCAAGGCCCACAAAGTTCAATAATCAGCGCGTGTGTAGAATTGATATATGGTATTATTGTATATTCTATTATAAAATAGTCTGTTCTGTTATGTTGTATTATATCATTTTATAGTGTTATGTTTTATGATTTTATATTATTTCATACGATGTTAACTTGTGTTGCGATATGGCGTTGTATGTGTTAGTGTACTCTACATTGTAACATATGTTATGTTATACTATATTGTATTACATTATATTAGATTGTGTTTGTTTATTATCTCATATTATAACCGACTATTCTGGATCATGTTATTTTGTGTTATGTTGTATCATATTATGATTTCTTATGTTCTCTTATACTGTATCATGGACCTTTTACATTACATTATACATCTGTACATACACACACACATATATATATATATATATATATATTATAGAGAGGACCCGGTTTGATTTAAATTCGTTTTGGGGTTGGGGCTTAGGGCTTGGTGATTCAGAGGCTTGGGTTTAGGATTTGGGGCTTAGGGCTTAGTCGTAGGCAAGACCCCCCTCAACTCCCTCCAAATCCTTCACACCCTCAATCCTCTAAACCCTGAGCCTGACACCGCATGCAGAACCCCAGGCGCGATACTTACCCTGGCAGGGGGTGGCTTAGGGTCTAAGGAAGTTCATGGCTTAGGGTTCATGGCTTTTGGCTTACAGTTCGGGGGTCTAACCTAGGATTGCTAGCCCTTGGAGGGTGGAGAATCCGTGCAGCCGGCTTGTTGCTGCTGGGCCGGTTCAAACCCTCAGCAGCACGGCCGCCTAGAGATGTCGGGTGCACTTCAGGCGCAGTGGAAGCCACCGAGAGAGTATAAGAATCCTGTTTTATGAAATCCTAAAGAACCCACGGAAGGCCTTTTCAGATTCGTGACACCCTCTATAAGCACCCTTCATTCAAACCAGGATAACGGCAAGACCCTGCAAACAGACGGGGTAAGTGTGATCCCGATAGCCTGGCGAAGCCATGGGTCAGCAAGCAAGCTGCTGCCAAGAAGAAGAACTCGATGCACCAAAGGACTTGCATGGGACATCATATAGGCGCCTTAATAATAATAAGAATATGGTTTTGGGGTATATTATACTATACTTATAATAAGGAACCCCAAAATAAAAGAGGTAATTATTGAGGCCCCTATACTAGAGTTCAGGGTTCAAGGTTTAGGATTCAGTCTTCCAAAAGCTGAGTTGCTGTAAGGGATTAAGGGTTGTGGAAAAAAGCGCTTTTTCAGAGCAGAGTATGTGTGACCTAAAACTCTTCTCTTCGGGTGCGTACTGTAAGGGAGTCTAAGGAGAATTTTGGACTATAAGCTCCACTATGATTAGGGTAAGAAGCTAATTAAGAAACCCTTGGCCCTGAAATCAAGAACTATTTTTTAGGATGTAAACCCTAAACCCCACAAGCCCTAAGGAACCCCAATGCCGACCCAGTGTGTTTTAATTGCTTTAGTCAGGTTCCTGTAGTACTTGGATCCTCATGGTTTTACACCCAAACCCTGAAGCACCAAAAAAGTAGCATGCAAAACCTGCGCCTTTCGGCTCAAAACAGCCCTGCTCGCAGCCTAGGGTTTACGGTTGGGGTTTGTGGCAGTTGCGGGGTGCTTGGCTCCACAGCCACCTGCTCCAAACCCTGAACCCTAAACACGGACCTTTTGGATCTTTTCGTCTCGGAATACTGCAGGGTCGCCGCTTTAGGGTCTAGGGTGTGGTTCGCTTTTACCGAGACTTTCTATTCAAAGCCACGCCTCTGCCCGTGTTTGTGCCCATAGGTAATTGGAACTCAGGTTACATAAATCTTCTCCAGTTGTGGAAGTTGAGGGTGCTGGTGTACACAGTATACGGTCGGTAACTTACTCTGTAGGTAACTCGAGCCATAGGGTTCTAGAGTACTTTTTTGGGTCTTGGGGTTCTTCAGATGGGGTTTCGTGACCAGGTCCTAAGCAGGGGTGTCAGAATTCGGTCCCAGCGTACCCAAGTCCTTCTTTAAGGCCAATGCTTCTAAGGTATGAGTACCCAAAAAGTGTCCATGTGCCCAAATAGCGTATACTTTTGCCCCAAAGTACCTGTATGGGGAGTGCTTTAAGACCAAAGTATGGTGTATTTGGGTACATGGACCCTTAGGGTACATGGACGGGTAGATGATGATATCAGCATCGCGAACGTGGGACATAGGCCATATAGATGGGGAGCTCCGGAAGCCCCAGAGTGTTCACAAAAGTGTTGGAGGTAGTGCATATCCGTATATATATATATATAT